AATGTGTATCAAAGTTTTTAAGGCCGATATGGTTACACACAGACCTGTTGCAGGTGTCTACCGGATGGTCGCTTTGTGCATAGTTATTTGGGGGATGGAGTACATATCTGGGTGAGTAGTCAAGATCTACATCATCGGGCTGGCTATTGTAGGGAGGCTTACATGTACTCCGTGGACCGCTACTCAGGATGGCCGATTGTAAAATATTTGATTGTTTGGGGTCAGCCGAACTGTCCAAATACTGCTCACAACATGTGATGCTATTGTTTGGACTGGCAGATGGTGTCGACTCTAACGGCATATGACTGCTCTTATTTATATCTACAAGCGATATACAAGGTAGTGAAATGTCATGCCCAAGTAAACGGTGCCCGTTTATTGTTGCTGAGGGAAGATCAGAGTAGGATGCAGACTGATCAATGTGTTTATAAGTTTCCACATCATTCGCTTTAGTGACTGATTCAGATTTTTTGCAAGCGCTATAGGCGTCAGGAGAGATTGCATGTTTTTTAGATGGCCGGGACATTATTGTAAGGAATGGGAGTATGAAGTTTAATTTAGTGAACAGCGACAGTTATAATTTCACTTGATACACGTGTAAAGTTTAATTGTAGGATCAGATCCAGTATTAGTTAAGATCAAATATATTAACGTTAATTGGTGATAATAGAGAGCGTGAGAACCAGCAAAATTAAAGTATGACGTTGACAGAACCCTATCAGTGATGAGTTATCTATCGCTAACAAATGTTAAATTAAAGGGAAGAACTAATAGGAGAATTAAATAATACCACGTGAAAAAAAGTTACAACCTTCAAAAGACGCGGGCTAACTACACAGAACTAAAAAGATGATTAACAGTGAGTGATGCTCATGGGATTACCAGGGAGAACATAAGGTGTAACCAAGGGGAGTACACTCCCAACTCATTTCTATGATAATGGCTTGAATTTTAGTCAATGTTGGGGTACATTCGGCATTTATGTTTTCAGTTTGCAGAAGATTCGCTCGACTGCTTATACTGATTATTTGCATGCATGATTGTGTCGCTAAACCTCCAATTAGACTGACAAGATTTTGAGATATTTACTGAATGAGCAACTGATAAACATACTGTAATCATCCGTAGTGAATGAAAAGAAAAACAACACTACTTAAGGATAATAATAAGTCAATTTGCTGACCGATTTGTTAATAGTTTCGTCAACTTTATCAATCATATTACGTGATTGTCAAGTCATGACAATGCTTTATGACGATATCCTGAAACCATTAGGTCTAACTAATTATAGTGTTGATTGAGGATTAGCCGGTGAAAAAAATAGGTATTGTTGCTTCAGGTGATTTGAAATTATCAGAAATTTGTAGCGTTGACGAAACCGAGCCGCCTAATTATATTATAAATTTCAATTCAAGAATATACATCTAGTGTTAATTTTAGTAATAGGTTCCGGAGTTTTAATTTTAAATGTTTGTTTAGCCAACAACCACCTGATAGTTTAGCTAACATACTAAGGCAGTATGCTAGTACTTGAATTTGTAACTTTATTATCTAAACTATGTTTGTCTTTTTATGTTACTAATATGGTAGACCGATTTACAAACCCAAATACGTATAGCAAGAATGACTATGATGGGTTTGGTGAGAAATGCTAAAGGCGATTCAAATGACTTTCGAATTCAAAAGGCATGGAGATATAATGCAACGCTTTTACAGGGTAGTTTAACATGCAGGTTATTGATGTATATGACAAACATTGCCAGAAAAATAATTTTAAAGTTAAGACTGCCTATGAAACTTCAGGCAGGATTATGATGAGTTATAAACTTCCCATAAGAGGTTCCTGTATTTAGCATAGTGGCACTTACAATTATGTAGCAAAAGCAACTGGAAAATATATAATGTTCAGTACAAAAAAAATATCCAGTAAAATAGTTAAACTCGCCTGGGTTATTTTTGAAAATTGGATTATACAGTAGACGACATATGTAACGCCATTCGTGAGAAGTAATGATCCAAAAGCATCCAGAATAAAACATGCAGTATGGTAATTAATTCCAGGGTCCTTGGTGCCGCTGAGGTTTTTGTCACTTGCTCGGATCAGAACAATTGAATGAATCCAGATAATTGTGTGGTTGCCATTGAACGAGCCATCTAAAATGACTTTATGATTGCAGAAAACTTATAGCTAAAACTCACCGTATGTTTTTGTAGTAGTGTCATCCTTGTTGTTTGGCAATGGAACTCGAGAATTGGAAATTAGGCAGGCAGTGGTCGGAAGAAAAAAAATATTACAGGATAGTGCAAAGTTTAAGACAGAATGGGCTAAGTGAAGGAACACTAAGAATTAGATCCAGATAAATATTTAGTCCTTGATTTCATGGTTAGTCAATGTATATTGAGGTTATTTGCAGGTCATATTTGCTAGAGCTTGATGATAAACTAAGTTTATTTCGCTGAAGCATGAAAATGCTACTAAAACTTGTTAACGAACCATCAAAAGCTAATTAGTTAATGTAGATGACCAGTTTTTATTATTGATTGAGCTAGTAAGTTATGAGAACTAATCAATATAACATTACGATAATACATATGAGCATTAATCAGAGGACTATTAGAATAATGGGTTTACATAAGTATATATAGATCCAGAGATATCAGGTGAAAAAGAGAAAAAATAATAATAGGTTGCGTTTCTTAGGTCGGGCTCACCAATGTAGAATTACGGTCTACTATGATATTAGCATTGCTCTAATAATAGACCTAATCCTAAAATTGTAGATTTATCATGATGTAACTGCGTAATCTAGAAGATCTTACGTGGAAGTTACATCATCGCCTACACCAACTCAATGCATTGTAACAATTACCAATACGTGATAGATAACAAGCTTAGGCTAGAGATGGAACAATATATTTAATATGAATAAAAGACATAACGTAACATTTAGCAGGAGGGACCACGCCTGCATGGTTGAGCCATGCCATAAGATTAACTCGTATTAATTCAATTCACTGTTCCCGCCTTTCTTCATTGTTCGGTATTTCCCAGCGTTTAATGTTGAATGTCTATTTTCCAGTTTGTCTCGTGTTACGGCTCGATGACACTACAAACGTTTGCGGTCGTTACGCGTAAGTGTATGATATAACTCTGTAATGTCATTCTGGGCGGTTTGAGGCCTTTCTTTGACTGAAAAATCCTCGGCATTAGAAGGTTTTGTGATTTCGCGCATAAGGTCGGCAGATGCAGCCAGCTCATCTACGGCGTTGTTTCAGAACGAGACCAACACAGCTGGCACCTGTTGAGGAAGTTTGGATAGGATAAGTTGTTTGAACAGGCAATCATCGAAGGTTCTTTGGCCGACAACCTCTCTCATTCTTTGCAACATGTCTGCGGCAGAACCGTGTTGCAGGTCGATGTTGTTAAGGAGTTAGTCTAACCTTTGTCGATCGGTTAGATCTTCGCGATTAAGGATAGATAGTTCAAGTGTTTCGTAGGGTTCAAAAACATCACTAGTAAACATATTAGGTGTTACGTCCATGTTGAATTCGCGCAGTAGTGCCTTGACTACTATGACGAATTGTGCACGTGTGTCGTTCACGCCGTGCTCGCAGAAGTCGGCTTCTGCGTAGCGAAACCAGGCTTCGACATTGCTTTATCAGAAAGACATTAGTTGGAACGAAGGTGTGGTCATAGACTTTAACCTAGGTACCTTGGGTGTCTGGTCAGTCATGGTGAAATATCAAGTACGAGAATGAACGAGTGGAAAATATATATACCCCAAAAAACATGGAAAAAATACCACAATGTATAAAAAAGTAAAATAAAGCAATGATATATAAAATCTCAAAAAGGAACAGACTCACTGTTTGCAATTTGGTGTACCAGATCACGTTGGGCTCACCAATGAAGATGCCACAGGTATTCGGAGTTTGACAACTCTTTAACCAGTAAAACCTTCTAATAAGAAGCGTACCCACCAAGTGAAATCAAAAGACAGAAGCGAGGAGGTTCGAAGATATATTTGATAAGCTATCAACATATCGAGGATCGTCTGATCTAATATGGCTAGCGATTGCAGTAGATATTGAACACGGCGTTTCTACACGTGATCCGGTGCGGATGCATGACTGAGCGCCCTCAGCTAGATGAGTACATCAAAACTAATGTGGTCAGCATCCAATGTCGAAGACTTGCAGAGGTATTTATTTTGAGGATTTATTTACCGCTACACAGTCAACAAGTGTCTTTAGCTTTACAAGCATGACCGCAACCACCGAATGTAGCCAGCAATATTTCACAACACATCAGAATTACAGGACCACCTCCTTCTCCTTAGCAGACAAATACATGTAATACGAGACTTGACAACAACTTAACCGATTGCATTTTCATAATCAAAATATCACAAATCCAGTCAGACCGGAAGTCAGGAAAGAAGTTCGAAGGTATATTTGGAAGGTTATCGGTGTGTTGAGAAGAGTTTGATCGATGCTGGGTAGTAATTACAGGGAATGCAAAGCACGGTGTAATCGATCGTGATTTACTGCGGATACGTTACCGAGATTTTCCATCTAGGGTTAGTCCAGCAATCCCAATGAAATCAGCTTCGATGTTAAAGATTTGAAGACGTATTTTTTGGTTTTGATTTGGCGTTGCATATTTTCATTGAAAATATCTCAGGTGAGTGTATAAACAAATCGCTTTGAAGGGCAATAACATACGGATACAAGGGAATAAGTTGGTCTCTAAAACTATATAATTTATATTAGTATAATATACTATCTTAGCATTAGCATGCCTTATGTTTTCATTCTATCTGTGACTGATTACCTAAAAGGGCCTTCTGAGAAGGTTCCCAAACGGAGATCAATTAGTTTATATCCAGAGTTTTATTTTTATTCGTAATGAGTTACTGGAATTATCTACTCGAGCACATGATATTAGTACCTTTTGCTGATATATTTAAGGTTAGATTAGATTGGAGTGACTAACATACCATCTTATTTCCAAAGACTTTTTGACCACAAACATATTGAAACTGTATACTGTTTATTTCCATTGTTAGTTTTCATCAAACGTCAATAACTGTTGTCATGACATGAAATCAACTTTTCAATTGCAGAAATATTATGAAGAATCGTTTTTATCCGGTTGCAAAAATGAATTTGATCTGGACTTGTTAGCGGATAATATCGATTTCACTGTTTATAACTACCTGGGTCACGATATACTTGTGTGCCGAAAACCAGTCTTAACAGGACATCATAGCTCTAGTTTAAAGACTGATAACAAAATTGACTTACTATTCGACTTTAAGACATCTTTGGAAGGGGAAAGACGTGAAAAAACTGATCAGTCACGTGATTATAAATCTCGAAAAATGCAATGTAGCTCTCCTTTTAGTCATTACGCCCAATTTCACCCTTCGAAATGTACGTTTCCAAATCCAAAAATAAAAGTCAATATCGATAACCTTCATGTATACCCGGGCTTGAGGTGGAGTGTGAACAAAACTCAAAAAATGAATAGACGAACTGCTTACAGATCAAGCAATGTCATTCCAATAACCAGCTTCATAAGTGATATATTTAAATTGCACAGGAATTAATAAAAGCATCTAAAGAATGACAATGTTATATAAGCACAATGAAGAAGATGGACTGTAACCACATAAATATATATGGAAATATCAGCACATCAACATTAGCTAGTACAAAAAACTTCAATGTATTTCTCTCGGGAGAGATAATGAATTACTTATGTAAACAAGTTTATTTTAATGCTGGCTATTTTCCAGATTTCATGAAATTTTATTACCCACAATTTTAACTATTTGTCTCCACTTTTTGACTCAAATGTTTTGTTTTTAGAATACCATCGCGGATTTGTTTGGTTTTAAAACTATAAAATTTATAGGCATGTCCTTAACAGAAGCTAAGTGTAGTTTGATTGAAAAAATAGTCGTTATATCAAACATTAAAACCTGCTCCTTTTAGACACATATCTGGCGTACATGTTCACGTCCCTAAGAAACTCATGTATTTATAAATTTAAGTAAATTAAAATTTGAATAATTCTTCTTGTTCTTATAAAAGCCATAGGTTATTAGTTAATTCATGTTGGGTTTGGTCGTATCAATAAATGTCAAAAAATATGGTGCACTCTTTATATCATTCAGTAGTTGTCATATTTTCTAAATAATTTCTGCATCTAAGCGTCAACAGTGAATAAGACATAATTATTGAAATAGGTACCCAATGACTGATAAATTACAAAATGTAGACTTCACTCGGAAATCTTTCCGTGAAATGCTTTATCTCAAGTAGTCGATTTGACGACCATGGGAATATTAAATTGTATGGAATTCAACTTAAAAGAAGGTCTGACGACTTTGAAGGCATGGAGGGAGATGTATTATCACATATTAGTTTTAGATTTAGTATTGTGACAAGCTCATTCATATTAAGGAACTAACTTTGAGTATTCTACCCGAAGATGTAAGGGAAATTAGGTTTAGGCCGTTGGCAAGTAATTTGTAAAAGCTAGAAGCTTTTGTTTCAAAATTCTTTTGTTGAAACTTGTAATTGACTACAGATTTTAGGGACGTTAGGTTTGTTTTGGTCTAAGTTTTCCGTATCTAAAATAATCTTCTCACTTTGAAAACTGATTGGGGCCCTTGAATAAATCCCAGTCGGTCATTTGCAACAAAAAGCCTACCACATATTTTCACAGGTTAAAGTTGCCATATTACTTTAGCACAGCAAGATAACGTTATTAGGGCATATCCCACAGTAGTAAAAATTTCAAAATCATCAGTAGTAGTGGAACAGATTAGGTATAAAATAGAAAAAAACGCCTGATATTTTAGGACACAATTTTTGATGGTGGATAAATAGAGAGTTAATCTGCAGCTTTATGATCGAATCTGAACCACGCCATTCAAAGTCTCTAACCATTGTTTATGTGGACGTTAACCAGATAATATACAACTAGTATCACGACTTAATCTAATGAATCCGCCGATTTTCGAAAATACAGTTGTACCTTTCAAGGTGGCCGTCAAATCGTGAATGTGGGGCAACGGGTAGCGATCGGGAATGGTTTTGCATTCAATCGTCGATAGTCACCAGTTGGACGCCAATCGTTGCTGTCCTTTTTAAGGACAGTGTGCAACGGAGATGCTCATGGGCTGTTTGACGGTCTTATAATTCCTAAGTCTATCATGTGGTCGAATTCGTTTTTCGCCAACCTTAAGTTTTCGGGGTCCAGTCGGCGTGCTTTAGAGAATACAGGTGGTCCTGTAGTCGTGATGTGATGTGTAACATTGGTGGTTACACACGGCGATTTTGGTTGCGATTGATAAATGCCAGAGTACTTATCGAGTATTGGTTGATAGAATGGGTCTATCGTGTGCTTAACTGTGACTGGAGATAACCTGCAACCAGAAAAAGAAGTCAGGCAAACAGGTGAATTAGTATTTCCGTTCACCAGCCTCCGTTTGAGCGTTTCGATGATCAAGTTGTGTTGCTGTGGGATGTCCATACTAATGATTGGCATAGAAACATCTGCAACACCAAAGATCCAGTGAATGGATTTGCGTAAACCCACGTTAAGATAAACATACCCTTTGTTATACGTAGAGATAGGCTTACAGTTTGCCGCCTGTAGATTTAAAGCTGATTTGTGAAGCCGGTCGCTGAAATTCGTATGAAGAACTCTAACTTCTGCGTCAGTATTGACGAGGTAGCGAACTCTCGTTATCACATCTGTGACATATAACAGACGGCCATGTTCGCGGGTTACGGTTGCCATAAACGCGTGCAGGCTTGTAAGTTTCTCGAATCGTTTTTCGTGTCGATGGACTTCGAGTTGGGAAAAATGGAGGGTTTTCTGCAATTTCTGGCGGACTTTCCATAATGGCAATGATACCAGCACCAGACGGGCTTATCCGTCTCTCGTGGTCTGGAGAGAGAACGCCTACGTGAAGTGCTTCTCATGGTGTGTGAACGTTTGCGGTCGTTGCGCGTAAGTGTATGATATAACTCTGTAATGTCATTCTGGGCGGTTTGAGGCCTTTCTTTGACTGAAAAATCCTCGGCATTAGAAGGTTTTGTGATTTCGCGCATAAGGTCGGCAGATGCAGCCAGCTCATCTACGGCGTTGTTTCAGAACGAGACCAACACAGCTGGCACCTGTTGAGGAAGTTTGGATAGGATAAGTTGTTTGAACAGGCAATCATCGAAGGTTCTTTGGCCGACAACCTCTCTCATTCTTTGCAACATGTCTGCGGCAGAACCGTGTTGCAGGTCGATGTTGTTAAGGAGTTAGTCTAACCTTTGTCGATCGGTTAGATCTTCGCGATTAAGGATAGATAGTTCAAGTGTTTCGTAGGGTTCAAAAACATCACTAGTAAACATATTAGGTGTTACGTCCATGTTGAATTCGCGCAGTAGTGCCTTGACTACTATGAGGAATTGTGCACGTGTGTCGTTCACGCCGTGCTCGCAGAAGTCGGCTTCTGCGTAGCGAAACCAGGCTTCGACATTGCTTTATCAGAAAGACATTAGTTGGAACGAAGGTGTGGTCATAGACTTTAACCTAGGTACCTTGGGTGTCTGGTCAGTCATGGTGAAATATCAAGTACGAGAATGAACGAGTGGAAAATATATATACCCCAAAAAACATGGAAAAAATACCACAATGTATAAAAAAGTAAAATAAAGCAATGATATATAAAATCTCAAAAAGGAACAGACTCACTGTTTGCAATTTGGTGTACCAGATCACGTTGGGCTCACCAATGAAGATGCCACAGGTATTCGGAGTTTGACAACTCTTTAACCAGTAAAACCTTCTAATAAGAAGCGTACCCACCAAGTGAAATCAAAAGACAGAAGCGAGGAGGTTCGAAGATATATTTGATAAGCTATCAACATATCGAGGATCGTCTGATCTAATATGGCTAGCGATTGCAGTAGATATTGAACACGGCGTTTCTACACGTGATCCGGTGCGGATGCATGACTGAGCGCCCTCAGCTAGATGAGTACATCAAAACTAATGTGGTCAGCATCCAATGTCGAAGACTTGCAGAGGTATTTATTTTGAGGATATATTCATCACTATATTCGCATGGCAAGGGGGCAATTTAAAAGGCTGTAGATAATGGAAAATCAGTGAATCTTGACTACACAGACTTCAGAAAACATTCAATTAGGAGACTGAAAACTCTAGGTGTTACTGGATCTCCCTCTTAATGGCTTAACGATTTCCTGTTAGGTCGTAGACAGAAAGTAGGAATAAATTGTAAGTGATCCACCTGGAGGCCAGTAATTAATAGCGTACCTCAAGTTTTTGCCCTAGGTCCTTTTCTTTTTATACTGTACTCAAATGATTTATCAAGTATAGTTGAGTCCTCAGTATTACTATACGCTGATGACATAAAAATATGGTAAGAAATAACAGAAGAGTCAGATGCATGCTCACTTCAGGCAGACGTAAATATTAGGATTAACTGGCCTAAAAAGTAGCTAATGCATATCATTGAGGCAAAGCGTGCGTGCATACACTTTGTGGATACAAAGAAAGGTGGGTGCAGCGTAGGAGAAGTTTCCGTACTCGTGGTCCTGTCTCAGTGAGTTATGATTTTAAGACCACGATTCATTGCCGGGAGGGCGCAGCTAAGGGTTTAGAAATATATAATCTTTAAGACGAACATTCTGCAAGTTAGATACTATCATGTTCATTGCAATATACACAGTCTTAGTAAAAACTAAACTTGAGAACTGCGTTCGGGCTGCAGGACCCTATTAAACAGGTGACTCGGATATCCCAGAAAAAGTACTGAGGGCAGCTACTCGTGCAATTCCAGAACTCAGGAGTATACTTTATAGATGGATGACATAGGAAATAGGTCTTCTGTTCTTGCTACACAAATCTAAATCGGAATCATTATTCATTGGAACAACATTTAGTGCACTTTTGAAATGGAGCAGTACATCAAGGTTATTTTGTTCCCATGTTTTCCGTATGTATTTTGTTTCCGTCACAATACTCTCA